GCTTTGTGCAATATGGACTCAATGAACAGATGGACGCAGTGCACAAAGTGAGGTATACACAAGGAAGGTGTACAGTAGTCCAGACTACAAAGGTAGAAAGGGACACCCTTACAAAGAAGAGAAACCAATCGCTAAAGAATGTCTGTACTGTGGCAAGACACATGTACTGAAACAAGAGCTATGTCCTGCCTATAGACAAATCTGCAAAAAATGCCACAAACCGAACCACTTCGAGGCAAAATGTGAAAGTCTGCACAAGGGGAGAAACCAGCCTCGCTATAATAGTAAAGGTGCGAGACAGCATATCAACGTAGTCACGGATGATTACTATGTAGAAAATTGTTATGAGCTTCTCGTTGTTCATGAGCAACCTCTCAAAGATCACGACGAAACCTCTAATTCTGTGCAGGTGTCAGGAGAAATCTTTGCAGCCCTGGACGTGGGTGGTCGACGGGATGACTTTTAAGTGGACAGTGGTGCAAGTTGTGATATTATACCGAAGTACTTGGTACCACTAAATGCAGAAATAAGACCTACAAAGAACATTCTTAGCATGTTCAACAGGACCACTGTTACTCCGATGGAGAAGTGTCTACTAGAGGTACATAACCCCAAGAATGGATCAGTACACACAGCAGACTTTGATGTGGTGAATGAAAAGTGCACACCTCTGATCGGGAACATGCTGATACAGAATATGAACCTTGTTACAGTACTGCATCAAAACATTCTTAGTGTAGAGAATGTACCTAAACCTCACACGTCGTCAGACATTGTAAGCGAGTACGCGGATGTCTTCAAGGGTACGGAAAGATTTAAAGGGACATATACCACCTGAGTGTCGACCCTGATGTAACTCCGGTCGTACACCCTTCTAGGAAAGTCCCTATTGCGTTAAAGGATCGGCTGAAGGCTGAACCGGACAAGCTTGAGAGTATGGAGGTCATAGCTCCTGTGACTGAACCTACTGCATGGGTGTAAAGTATGGTGACGGTATTGAAACCGGAGAAGCTCCGTATTTGCATATACCCTAAATATCTGAACAAGGCACTCAAGAGAAGTCACTATCCTCTTCCGACTATCGAGGATATCTTGCCGAGCTTACACAGAGCCAAAGTGTTTAGCATATTGGACGCAAAGAATGGATTCTGGCACGTAGAACTAGACAAAGAGAGCTCGCTACTCACTACATTTAACACTCCATTTGGGAGGTATCGCTGGCTTCGTTTGCTATTTGGCATCTCATCTGCTCCAGAAGAATACCAGCGACGAGAGGACCAGGCTGTTGAGGGTCTGCCTGCCGTGCACAGTATTGTGGACGACATCTTGGTCTACGGCGAAGGGGCATGTGAGAACGAAGCCATCGTAGATCATGACGTTAAACTGAGGAATCTACTGGAAAGGTGTCGTGCGAAGGGCAAGCTCCGACTTCGACAGAAAGAAGTTCGCTTTATCTGTCACCTTATCACAGCTCAATGTCGCAAAAGCTGATCCGGAGAAAGTGAAAGCAGTCGCAGATATGCCGAAACCGACTGATGTTGCTGGCGTGCGTCGATTTATTGGATTTGTGACGTACCTGAGTAAGTTCTTACCTGGACTGAGTGACCAATGTGAACCACTGAGGAAGCTGACACAGCAAGATATGGAGTGGTGCTGGCTGGAAACACACTCAAATGCGGTGCGCAAGATAAAAACGACTGGTGACTTCGCAACCAGTACTGCGTTACTTTAATGCAAATGAAGAAGTCACTCTAAAATGTGGAGCATCGGAAAAAGGACTTGGAGCCGCTCTCCTTCAAAATGGTCAACCGGTTGCATTAGCAAGTCGAGCGCTCACAGATGTAGAAACGCGCTATGTGCAAATAGAAAAAAAACTCTCTGCAGTGGTGTTCGGACTCGAGAGATTTCACCACTACACGTACGGTAGGCAGGTCACCGTCCAGAGTGAACAGAATCCTCTCGAAATGATCGCTAAGAAGTCTATTCACCCTGCTCCGAAGCGTTTACAGCGGATGCTGCTACGTCTACAGAGGTTCACGTTCATAGTAATGTATCACCCTGGAAAGTCAATGTACTAACTGACACGCTCAGTCGCGCTTTCTTGGTAGACAAAGATGCTCAACTTGAAGGATCAGAACTCCTTGACTACGATACCATAAACATGGCTCAAGACATTTCAATCACGGATGCACGTCTACAAGAGATCCAACGGGAGACAGCGAAGGATGAGACTCTCAAGGTACTACAGGATGTGATCCTACGCGGCTGGCCTATGAAATACTCTATGACTGCTAGGGAGGTCAGACCCTACTACTACGTGCGTGACGAACTCGTAGTGCAAGCTGGAATTGTATTTCGAGGCGAACGCGTAGTGATACCAAGGTCAATGCGCTCCGACATAACCTCAATAATTCACTCGTCTCACATTGGCATCGAAGGTTGTGTGAAACTGTATATTGGCCCAACATGAGTGTTGAGATTCGCGAGTACATCAGTTGGTGTGAGAGCTGTTGGACCTACGAAAACAATCACCAGAAGGAAACTCTCATTTCCCATGACATACCGTACCAACCGTGATCAAAGGTCGGTGTGATCTGTTTACATTGCATGAGAAAAACTACCTCATAACCGTGGACTATTTCTCAAACTTTTGAGAAGTTGACTATCTCCCAGATACGAAGTCGTCGACGGTGATCAGAAAGTTGCGTGCTTAGTTTGCACGGCACGGTGTACCGAACACGGTAATCAGCGACAACGGCCCACAATTCAGTGCGGAGGAGTTTCACAGATTCGCGAGTGAATGTAGATTTGATCATGAGACATCATCTCCAGGCTACCCGCAAAGCAATGGGAATGCGGAACAGGCTGTGAAGACAGCTAAACGACTCATGCACCTAGCCAAATTTTCAAAGACTGATCCTTACTTGGCGCTTCTAGACTTCCGCAATACCCCGTCACAGTCTATGGACAGCAGACCAGCTCAACGGTTAATGAACCGTCGCACTCAAACGCTACTGCCAATAAAGGCAACTCTACTAAAACCACAGATTCCAAAATCTGTGTCACGTCAACTAGAGGCTGTAAAGGAGAAGCAGGCGCTCTATTACAATCGTGGCGCAAGAAACATAGAACCGCTCACGGTGGGTGACACTGTTCGTATTGCACCTTCGCAAGGACAGAAGGAGTGGAAACAAGGAACAGTACAACAAGAGGTGTCCACACGATCGTACACCGTCGAAACGGAATCCGGAATGATCTTGCAGCGTAACCGTCGTCATCTCCGTAAATCGGTAGAGGACAAGCAGCTACGGGATGTGCAGGAGTATGAGGACATTCTGGTGACACACTCGGACACGATTCCGAGGTCTCCAATGACTGTCGATGCATCACTGCGAGCTGACAGGTCAATAATCACAGGCAGTCCTATCAAAAGCCGCCACCTGAGGTAAAGATATCGAAATGCAGGCCAGTGTTTGTGTCGAGATGTGGCAGGAAGGTTTACAAACCTGTCAAACTTAATCTGTAAGACGTACAGTGCAATGATGAACTAATCATTATTCAAAGTAGCATCATGACAAGTTAATTCGAGTTCATTTTACTATAAAGTTGCATTTAAATGAGTCAGACAGTTTGAAGCATTGCAAGACTGAATTAATTTAATGTACTCAAGATAAAGGGTATAGTTAACTTCTATAGGAATCGGAAGCGAGATTTTCTTGTCTAGGTCGAGACTCTGTAATGTTTTTTGTTGTTGAGTAACGGTCAACGGTAATTAGTTTGAAGTTTGTTCTTTTATAAAGGAGAAAGGATGTAACAATATATAGTGCTCATGCGCAGCGTTGGCTCTGGCTAAGTTTAGAGAATCCGACATATAGCCAACAATAGAACATGTCTCTTGATTCGTAATAAATGCAGTTTACCGTTTAGTTTCATTCTCGATCTTATCTGCTATTCTCTCTGCATGGTTACACTCCTCGGCTAACTAAATATTGAAACAAATGTGACAATGCCTTGCCTGTTTCTACATGAAATGACCTGTGACGTTGTGAACATAACGACAAATTAAGAGAAGCCTTTTAATAGGATGGGTATATCTCAGAAAATTGGTTACTCTACCAGTTTACTTTTCTATTACACTACAGCACGGCAATAAAATAGCGCCACACAACCATCTTCATCATGAGATTGGCCACAGCTTCTGCTAGAATTTCGTAGGTGCCGAAATACTGATTAGTGGAGATTCAATTAGTACTATGTGGACCGAAACAGGAGAGCCCTAACAACATCAGAACTATGGCATCGAAACTACAGCATTTAGTGTAATACGGCGTTTCGTCATAGACATAGAGCTATAGGAAATCGGACTACATTAATAGACAATAGAAATGCAGGGTCGACAGAGTAGGACAAGGGAACGGTTGGTAATCACGCAGGCGTTGCAAAACACATTAGCAACGCCCTTAAGGGCGAGGAGACTCGTTCTCAGACAAGACGGGAACATTAAGAGAAAGTGAACGTGGGAATGAGGAGAAACGATTGCCTGAATACACCCGACGTAATAACACCAGCCAATGAGGCAACGCATGTGAGCGGTGCGCCATTGGGCAGACGAGGTCCATAACACCACCCAATGAGGCAACGCGCATAATGTACCTATTACATTGCTAAAATCCTAAAATAGCTAAACCACTTACACAGCTTACCCATAAGGACACACATTTTCTGTGGACTTCTGAAGCAGAGAATGCCTTTCAATAAGGTAGAATCAAGATTTATTTACATGTAGAGTGTACAAGGACTGTGGAACGGGTTGTATGCTTATGATGACATTGATATTTATGAATGGCTCCTGATCTCCTTCTCCTAATTGTGCAGGGGTGAACACTATTTACTTATGGTTATTTTAATTAAAAACGTACCTTGAGTTGTTGAATGAAATACTATATAATCACACAAGTTTGGTAACAGATTTGGCTCTCCTGCAGGTATGTGTTGAGTGTTCAGTTCTGCTGAGTCTTTAACCGACTTTCTCTTAAACGCTTGCGGCTTATCATTGCCTCCAGCCACATCCCTCCGTTGAGTCCCTTGATTCGGACGGACTAAATAAAATACAAACCACGCAAGTGTTCAATCTTACCATGCACATACACAGAGCTTTTAAAGTCACAATAATATAGAAATATATAGAGTATATATACAGACCTTTACTTATATACTAGTAGGTAATTCATTTTTTATATCATTCGCCAAATTTTAAATTGTTTTTATTAGCAACCATAAAGCTATTGAGAACCTAATAAATGAATGTGGAATTGTCATGTTTGGGAAAATTAACATATTAGAGAGTATATTAATAAATATGGCAACAAGTTGTTAGAAACTAGGACAACATCTACAAAATATAGCTATTACAAATTTTGTCAATACTATAGGTAATATTGCATGTACATGTGCAAGCGACTCAGCATGCATTCCTATATACGTCATACCTCCACGACACGCTTGAAGAATGAACAACTTGGGTTTCTGCATTAGACCCGGTGCATTTTCTCCTGCCAAAAGAGCATGGAAAACAGGTAACCATTTATTTGTGATCTTTAGGGATATGCTCACAATACCTAAATTCGACACGTTCGTTATTCATTGTTAATGAGAATTCGCTTTATATTACAACTATGTAACCCTCTACTAAATACTTAACGAAGAAGGTAGATTAAAAAATTTTACCTTCGAATAGACGAAGAATGTCATCAGAAAATGAAAGCTTTTCGTCGTCTGCTCCAAATATCACGTCTTCCGCACCACCATGGCTTAAGATGGCAACAATGCTCGAGTCGACACTGTTTTGTTTGTCACTAGCAGCAAACTTTTTCACAACATCTTTTATTTCCTACGAGAACAAAAACCAATCACTTCCGCAAGTCATTCCTTGGTGAAGTCGGCCATCTAGTCGCTGGCCAGCTTATTTGCCACTCAGGCAGTTTGCTCATAAACCATCATGCTGATAGGCTTATAAATTTAATAAAATAAAAAATAGCTAAAACCAAAAATATATGACCTCTTGCATGAAGCCATTGTTTAATTATAGCAAAATAAAATAACAGCTTAGTTTATTGTATCTGTAATATCTTTACCATGTCAAAAACGTCACATATTTTGCTTTGGCTTAAATAACCTCAGCAGTCCTTGAGTATGCTTTGTTTGGTTGTTAGTAGAAACTATAGTAACAACTTGTCGGTTACCTCCGCAGTCAAATTACTTGTCTTTGCTTCTTCTACTGTGTCCCACATCGTATAGCCAAGATCTGTAAATAGTTGACGCAGAGTCTCTACATCTTTCTGCGATCCCTCCCGGGTAGGAAACTTTTCCGGGTCCTTGAATTTTTCATTATTAATGATCAAGCAATATCCACGTGGAGTCGAGTTGTTTTTGTAGCTATTTGTCTGCAAAATAACATAATATTAGTATAGAATTGCAGTTATTTTATCGCTCAGATAACAGGTCTATTATTGCACATTGCATAGACTTAGCTCAGTAACTGCACGTACCATATCACACAAATTACTTGTGCTTCGAACAACCTTAATGCCAACAGATGCCATTGAAAATTTGCACAATACCCTTGATATGTTTCGTCTTTAGATGGAACTCGTCAGCCGTATATGAGAAGTGGCTACTAGGTCACTACATATTTCTTTGGAAACCTAAAAGTATATGAAAAACAGTTAGTGATCTAGTGCAGGTAAAAAGTACTAGGATAGTTTTTTGCATAAGCGAACACTCTACGAGGAAGTATTGGTATAATAACATTTCTAATTCTAACTGTTTATGTGATCATGTGATTATGTGTTGCCATTAAAACTGAGAAAAACAATAGCTATCACACACAAGCGCCACATTACCCCGACCATAGAATACGTTATTGAAGACACAAATGGATGCAAAATGATCAACAAGCTATAGTTATAAACAAAGTCATTATGAGACAATACTACCCCACGCCTTGGCATGTTACAATTCTCTCCACTCACATTGTACTATTTACAAAAGGCAAAATTTTAGCCAAATGTGATGTTCTGCAAAAAATTTCCCAAACGAATATTACTGGTGCAATTTGTGGATAACTTGGTCATCCAGGATAACATCTTCATATACACAAAAGACATTAAACAGCAGGATTATTGTCTTCGCGTTACATTATGCCGACCAACTTGACAGTGAACTTGCCAAAGTGTCCGTTCGGGACACAAGTACGGTGTGTTTCAGCCATATGGTAATTGCTACTAGCCACAACGCTTTTCACTACGTGGTGAGAAACAGTCTTACGACATGAAATAGTCGTAAAGCCTGGTCGGGCCACCACACAACCAGATGAGACGGGATACTAGAGAAGCGTTGCCGAAAGGAGGTGTTGATCCGAAGTGCTGAGCGCAGATCTTGCGCGCAGTACCGCGGCAAGGTGCACGCAACCGCGGGAACGTCCTACGACAGTATGCAGCGCTGGCAGCTATGGATCCGTGCGCCGAATGCATAGGCCGGGCGCACGGATCCATAGCTGCCAGCAAACAGTCGAGAATTTTACCGGGAATGCAATGAAAGAGCTCAACTGCATTGAGCTGCTGTTGTTTGCAAGCTCAATAAAAATATCAATAAAAGTGTCAACAGTTTCTACTTCTACACTGTGTTGTATAAGTTTTATTATGAATTGTATTTTATTATGCGTCAGCGGCTTCATGTAACGAGCGGCAGCTGCAGCGGATACATAAGCTGGGTTTTATAATAATACATGCGGAAATAATACGCCTCTATTCATGTAAATAGAAATGTTGACCTATATACAAAGAATGAGGAGGTAATAATCACAAAAATTAATATTGTCAATAGGTCAATAGCTCCTGATATTATCTGTGAATTGTGCGTGTTAGATGACATACTTATTTTACGCCATGACTTGTGGCCAGGCTAAAAAATAATTTTGTTGAGGAAACGCATTTTTGTGACTTCTGAAAAATTGTTTCTAATGAACATGTTAAAGACACTGACGCACGCACTGAGCGACGCACACACACACATACAAACACATACATGCACTCATACAAATGTCTGTGCCGGCCTGCGTGCGTACGTACGTGCGTCGGTGTGTGACTGCGTGCGTTCATACATGTATACGCACGTGTCTGCGTATATGTGTGCTTCGTAGTACTACAGCTAGCTATGTGCTTGCGTGCTTGGCTGCCTGTATAAGTAGGTACGGGCGTGCGTACGTGCGTCCGTCTGTGAGTGCCTGCGTACGGGCGTAATCATTAGAATGTGTGCGGACGCATGAGCGTGTACAGCGAACTTTACGATCAGAAAGCATATCCACACAAAGCAGCTAAACGTATGCACGCACGCGCACGCCTGGACGCACGCGCATACGCACGCACGCAGGCACGTGCACGCGGACGCTTGCATGTAGGCGTACACGCACGCCCGCACGCACCTGCACATGCACACATACATGGAAGATGCGCGCATAGTGATACGCGTGTATCTAGACGCTACACGTACACATAAAGACGTATGTATCCCGTGTACGCACACACAGGAAGGCACGCAATCGCGACGGGCACCGCATGTCGTTTTTCTCACGGTGACCGTCAAGGTAACTGCGAGCAGGCGAGTTGCAAGTTTTTCTGCGAAGTCGCAAATCACAGAACAGCAATGAGGGCCGTGTCCCTCGACCGTAGGGGTAGACGAAGTTTTTGCTTTAGGCAGCACGCTGGCAGCATGTAATACATGCAAAAATGCCTATCCGCTTCGGCCCGCGCGCTGCGGGTGAAACCAGAAAAACGCCAACTTCACTGAATATAATTCTCAGTGTAATCGCAGGACGGTGTATATGTTCGTTGTACGTACGTACGGCGGACTTGTGTACATTTGAGGCGACGGCAGGCATTTTCTCTCGGGCTATCGCTCCCCTTATTGTTCGTACGAGACTGCTGATCGTAGCACGACAATTATACGATATACATTTAGCTACACATATATACAAGGAAATCTATTACAAAGGTTATAGGTAAGCATCGTACTACTGCAATGACGTCAATGAAACACTACAGCCCAGAGGTATTTAAAGAGATCGTAATGAAAAAGAAATGCTTGGATATGTTGAATTAAGATTCTATAGATATATACGTTAGAACAAGTAACTTTTAAAACCTATCTTGTTGAAGCGATTGACACTGTAGCACGCATTAAGCAGGTGACAATAAAACACACACGAGAGACATGGTTCAACTCGCAGATAAAAGAACTTATTAGGCAAAGGGACAGGAAACTATTACAATTCACGAGAAATAACGATGACATTGACTTTAGGCATTTTAAGTTACTTACAAATAAAACTGACAATGACATTAAGAGGGCAAAAGGCTATTTTTCTACAGAAAAGATTGAAAGGAACAACAATAATCGTAACAAACTATGGCAAACTCGAAAAAGTATGGCTATGAACAATAAAGCAAAGAATAACTGCATGTGGTGAGGTAGCTTTAAAATGTTAAAAATTAGGGGTACTAGGAAATAATTTGAAAGTTTGCCCTGTAAGCAAAGAAGCGGTCTTAAACGTACTTAATAACATAAACGCAGATAAGGCTACAGGGTTAGATAGCATACCAGGTCAATTTATAAAACATTGGTGTCGCATTTTGTTTATTTATTGTGTTATCCATGTAATCTATGGTTTAATTCTTAATTATAAAAATAAAAAAATAAAAATAAATAAAGAAATGAAATGATAAATGTTGTGTGACCGATGGAAAGTTATCTTTCGTGCTTTTCACTCCTTACATCTAATAAGGTTACAGTTGTATGCAGTAAAATACAGTCGTCATGATCGTGGTGGTCGTGGTGGTGGTGGCGGTGGTGGTGGTGGTGGTGGGGGCACGACCAATTCAGAGGCTAGGACTGGTCATCGCACGACCATATAATTATAGCATATATGACTGAATCATTTGAATTCCTACTATAGCAAATTATAGCGCGAATGCAGAAAAGATGAACGCATAAACACGCGTAATAAGTGAGTAAACATGATTTCAGATTGTAATGGATATTTCAGTATAGAATTTTTCACTAGATTTCAATGTTTACTCGAAATGACCGCACATTCAGTTGTTGATTTAGGAAATTTGCTTTGCAGGAAAGCTAAGCAAACCGACACATTTACTCTGCATGAGTGTTATCTGAGCCTTACACATTGAAATAGTATGAAACTCGTTGCCCTTGATAATAATATATTCATATGAAAAGAGGGAAACAAGGGAGGTTTTATGGATTTCCGTGTGAAATGCGACCGCACTGGTCTATTTCAGCGACTTTCTTATAATATATCATTCGACACTATACTATTATTTCCGCTAAGAAATGTTACAAGACTTACACATGTGTGCGGTATAAACTTTTTTTGTTTTTGAACATGCACAAATACATCGGAATTTTATATAGTACACAGTTACGTTAAAGGATACAGATGATGTCCAGGACCGACAAGACAGAATAATGAACACCATGCTATCCTATGACCGTCCTGCACATGATCTGTATCGTTCAACCGCAATGGCAACTGTGACGAAGAACATTGTGTAATAACTAGAATGATGTTGGCTAATTAAATGTTGTCTCACCGATGGAAAGTAATCTTTGCTGCTTTTCACTCCTGACATCGAACAACCTTACAGTTGTATGCACTACAACACAGTGGCATGATATATGCATGGATGGAATATCGATGGATATGTATGAATCCGAAACTATATATGCTCTATGATCTATGCATAGCTCTATGCTATATGCACTCTGCTCTGCTATATATAAATGCTGTAACTATGACGTCATCATCGGAAATATCAGAAGATCCGGTGTATCAACATGGATACGGGAAGTTGAAGCGCAAGTCACGATTGCAGAGTTTATAGCTAGACTGGCAGCTCCCGCAAGTATCCTTGGCTACAATGAACTCAGTTAGTGTAGTGTGTGGAACTTTCGAGCGGGTAGCAGTCTAGCTTAGCGGCCGAAGCCGTATCCAGAAAAACTACGGGCAAATGCCATAAACATAGGCTCGTTGCGCCATCTATCGGACGCCATATGTTGTAAAATAATGTCAGGGCATGAAACAGCAAAAATGTAAATCGGTTTTCTACAGAAAAACGACGCGCGCCGAGCAGCAAACCAGCAATTACGACCATTTGTATGAAATGTCTACCTACGTGCGTAGTGAAAAGGCTTGTGGAATTGCCACAACTGCTCAATTGAGCGATTATACGGCTTTGGTCTCTACCCAAAGGGACCTGAGGAAGGTGTTCCAAACACTGCAGCGAATTTGAGTTAGGTGTGCCGCTACGTGGCGTTTTTCGTGCTTCGCGCGGATCCGGGCTGCCAATCGTCTAGTACTCCTGCGCGCTATACATTCTTCTACCCGCACGGCTGCCAACATTGAGTTAGAGTTGTGATTAAGATTATGTCAGGGAGCTGGGCGACTGAGCGGGAGGAGGGTGTGGGAGGGGGCAACCATCTCCCACACCAGGGGAGCATTTTTCAGCTTGAAATTGTGGATTTAATTCTGGTGCATACTTAAGTGAGTTTTTTTTAAACATAGGCCTACACATGTATGTAATGCAATACACTACACAGTGTTATGTTTAGATGGATTAGGTGCATTTACA